TAACCGACAGCCAGAGGGCTTGGCGTCAGGGTCTAGCTACATGTAATTACATGGTTGCTTACCTCGAACAGCCGCGATGTGAAGGTTTTTATCGCAGCAACATCGAGCCATCTCGTGAGCTCACCCTGCATATCTGTAGTCTTGGACCATCTGGGCTTAAGCTTGGTGGCGTTAATACTGACTAAACCTCCAGGGTAGGTTGTAACCCAGTCACGGGTATCTCCAGGAAGTGTGAGAGAAACGCCCTGTGAACGAGAACAGCTCTAGTTCTGTATTTTCAAGCTAGGTAGGGGTAGGAAAACAGCGGCGGCATTTCTTCGTTTAGGAAATGAATTGATAAAATTAGAACAGCCGACGAATGGATAACCCTAACCCTACGGCCATACCTCAGGTGTGACGTTCCCGAGACCTATTCATCGATATTTCATGGAGGATCACGGGGACCGTTCGAGGAGTACTGGCTGGAATGGAGAAAGGAGAAAGTCCTTAACGGTAGCACTTCAGGATTATTTCTCAATTAGAAAATCATCCTAGGCCTATCATCTATATGAGACGGAAAGTGGACGTTGCGGCTTCGCACCTCGGCATGTACTCAAGCTGGTCCCACTGAGTTTTAGCTCAAGGAGTATCTGGACCACCATAGCCGGTACACATCTAACGCGAGTGATACGATATGATTATGGATTAGCCAGATCCTCCAGAACCTCCGCTCGAATTTGTACGCGGACAAATCTCTGAACTGCAAGAACTCTTCTTACCTAACATCTCGAATATCTGGACATCTTGTTCAAAAGGTTTCTATGTTCCAAATGTCTGCCGACATGCCAAGAGCCACCAGTTCGTGATCGAGGGAGCTTGGTTTAATTCCGCTGGGAAAGAATGAAGAAGTAGAAGGAATGATCCCGGGTATCCTTGATCAATAATGCATTGGTAGCTCCTCGTCTGGTCACGGCATTTCCCTCCTTTTTCGCTGGTTCTGGCTATCTCCGAGGGCCACCGCTCAATGAATCCCCTAGCTCTGGGTTTATGGAATCTTTCACGGTTTTATTTTGGCGGCTTTGATCTGTCAGCAGGCTATTGGATGAAATGGCAAATTCTTTGACCTCTAGTCTTCTTGAGTACACCCCCCACCCCTCCCCGGGGGTACCTGAAATAGTGTCCCTTTTTACACTAGGGGCGTTGAAAGAGCTCTGATTGGCTGGAATTTACTGAAACGAGCATGTTTTGAGCCGTCGTCGAAGCAGATATCCACACCCCACCCCCACCCATCGTTATACACTTCGCTATGAGTAAATTTCACGTACGTCCCTAGAGCGTTTAGAGGAAGACTCGCACCACACCAGCAAGCCTTCTGGTCAGCAAAGATTGCGAGCCATCCGTGCTGCCCTTGAGTGCCAGGAAGTATCTCAAAGCATTTGAAGTAATTGGAGGATAAGGTAACATAGTGTTGGTAGCTGTCGCGTTTGAAATCATATAGCATCACTCATGGAGCCGAGTACTTAGTATTAGTCATTTGAGATCCCCGGATCTAGGTGAGGATCATTCTTTTTAATTTAAAGTAATACGCACGAAGACGCCCTCTTCAAATTCAAGTCTCCAGTGTTCCTCTCAAAACCAGCACAATCAATTGGGTTATTTAGGCCATGAACTCTTCCAAGTACTGACATGATCTCAATGGCCTGCAGCCGGGGAATTCAAATAGGATGCAGTAAAATTAGAGAAAACCAGCCAATATGCATGCAGCTTCTCATAGGATCTTACTGATCTAAATTACGCTTCTGCGCATACAGTCAGATGGCCGCTTGGGCCTGAAGGTAGGAGGCTTAACTTGCCAAGTCTCGAGACCTTCAAGAGTTTCGAGCTTTGCAGCGGAAAGTCCCGAGCGAGGCAGAAAAGGGGGACGCAACCACTTGTTCGAAATATCCTCTAGCTCGTGTTTTTGCCTAAGCTTCCTCCTGTTGCCTCCATGTAGCTTACTGCTCCGTCACCGGCTCCGCAGTCATTACTCTGGGCGTAGTTGTTAAATGAGACGCATATCGTGTCAGCGATCCTACTGTGGTCGGCTGTGAATGACCTCCGTCTGCAATAGTATGTGCATGAACCAGATGAAAGGCGTCGCAGCACGCGCGTACGCCTCTCTATTAATCCCCGATATATCAGCATCGACCATACCTCTTAGTTCGAGTGGCCTGCGCAGCCCCTGCGCTGGCTCAGGTTCATGTGCAGTAAGATAGATTCAATGCATATATATGGTACGGTTGATCAAGATATCGTCTATAAGATTATTCTAATAGAAACCCAGTTGAGCTCCAAGACCGGGGGAAAGCCAATTGCCACACGCAAAGCCGACGCCGGCCGCCGGAGCTGTCTTACGGGCTCGGCGAACGTAGATTTATCGAGCTAGTAAGTGTAGAAAGATAAGAGAGACCCACCGATTGGTCTAATACAGACTTCCTGTTATGTAATAGAGATAATCTTGTCGATTTTGCTTAGTCTATTTAATTTACCCGATAGAAAGATGATAGCTATATATAGGGAAGTAGATCAGCACTATACTTCCCCAAGAAAACCAATTTTTTCTTCCGACCACAATAACAACGATTCTCTAGTACAAGGGTGGGCTTCAATGTATATATTGCCGGGTGACAAAAGTAACCGTGATTTTGCGTAGCAACCAGCCAAAATTGCCCAAATCGACCAACTCCCAAAGTCGGTCCTCGAGGTTCATACCCAAGGGATAGGTTCTATCGAATCTAAGGCTTTCTAATTATACAATCCTTTATTTTATATCTATTATAGTTGTGGAGTTATACTTGTTTCAAGACGCATTCCCATACAAAATCTGGTTGCAATGCAAAATCACGGTTACTTTTAAATTTGTCACCCAGCAATACATACCTGCCGGCGAATGAACGGATTGGTAGCTTCACATCGAGCTGTCATATTAGATCTAGAGTCAGATTTGAGTAATCATTTTGGAGCAACGAACAAAATGATTATTCCCCCATGAATTCCAAGACACACAAGCTGGATGAAAACAAGACCTGATACATATATATAATGTTCATTGAGCGCAAGGCTCAAGGATACGCATATAGAGATATATTAAATACTAATACCCACGACTTCATTCTTAAAGTACATGTACATACTTCATCTTATGAGACCATATTTATTTGCCAAGAGGCTAAGGTATGTACATATTACATATTCGTTGGTAGATTTCTGGTTGCTACCTACATGTATATACTCGGGGCAGGTAAAAAGTACCGGACAATGCAGGTTTTTGGTTCACCAATGGGTGCGCGTGCTAGGCGTGAACTACTGCAAAAAAAAGCCCAGGGCCAAAACTTACATTGTCCGGTACGTTTTACCTGCCCGAGTAGTGGTCAGCTCTGATCCCTGGGTAAGACAAAGCTAATGATTCTAAGCCTTGGGTGTGTTATGCAAGGCGCCGATCCCGCTTTATGTGCTTGAAAAATTGAGTTAATTACATGTATCTATCGCTTTTTCATGCTTGTGGAATTGAACCCCTACCTGCTCTGCTGACCTTATACTTGCATACGATCGCTAGCTTGGGTCTTGGTCTGTGCAAGCATTGAAATTACTGCGCACGCTTCGCGAGCAAACCAATATGGAGACAATATATTGGGCGCTAGAAACAAGGCTGGCGTTTTGATCGTTATAAGCTAATTGGATATGTAGAGATAATCTCCGGCCCTCCCCTCTCACTTGGCCATCTATTATTCTACCACACTCAGCGTATTTTGATTTAAACAGCTACTCCAAAGCGAGTATTGTACCGTCTTGAGGTATCTTTAATGGAGAGGTGGCAACTAGCCTCAATCCTATTCAAGCTGATGCTGGAGATACATGCATATCCATCAGTTGTGCCAGAACTAGAAGCTGCTCCCCCAAAAAGAATGAAAAGCCCAATACTAAATCTCATTTAATGAAACTCAAAACGTGGGCTAGGTCTTGGACCGTCATTTTGATGTGAGTGCAGTAAGGCAGTGTGTTATTCTCGTGATGGGTGAACGGTATCAGGACTAGAATCGATGAGACCTAATCGAGAGACAGAAGACTGATGGGTCAGGAGGCTATTCCTCGGTAGCTCTCTATCTATAGTGTGGTGACCCACCAGGACACAGTATATGTCCCACATGGTGACACGAGTCCGCAATTCTAGCTAAGCGCTAACTAGCGCGACAGTACCCTTATATTCCCTTTTATCTTCATCGCTAGCTGAGTGGGTTTCAATTTCCGTCACGGGACATGGGCACGCAAATACCAATATTTCATCCATATTTATTCTACTCGTTCTAATTCTTCTCCCTACACCATCTTTTGTTACCTGATCTAGCTAGTAGTACGGAGCCATAAATGTGCACATATCTAACATCAGCCAATACCGTAGCATTCTGGTAACTCTGGCCGCCGACATGACATGCACAGATAGATGCCTTGCATGTCACAAAGTCGAACTGCAGTACGAGGCAAATAAATATGCAATGGAGCATCTTCCCAAGGCGCTCTAATGCATGTAGTTCATATCCTTGCTGGCATGAGCAGCTTCCTATGGGTGTGCACTCAGCAGTCTTTATACACAGTTATAAAATATTCAAATTTGCAGTGGGCTAGTAAGATTGGGCTCCATCCACCGCCAGCAATAAGACAGCTAATTGCTCCCCCCTTCACTCTGGCACTGCCCTTTTATCAATAGCCCGTAGTATGACTTTAAAACTGATTGGCCAATTATTTATGCTCTGTGTAAAGCCGCAAGGGTCAACTTGTAATTGTTCATTTGGTTTGTATATATGTAGGGCGCGCGCATTCCTCGTATCGTACAATTAATTGAGCACACGAAACACTTACGTCAAATAATACTTCTATTCTGCAGAATATTTCAAAGTACATATATTTCTTCGTAACTCTCCCGTCTTATTTTCCACATTCCCGAGTGTTACTAGCACTAGCTTCCCAGATATTTTGGACCCTGCATGCCCGTCGACGACACGCTCGATCCTTTGATCAAAAAAGCTGAGCCAGAAATGAGAGATGACCGGTACTGGCGCCCGTGGACTCTCGGTAGGACTGCGATGATATCCTTTATTGCGCTTTGTGTTGGGCTACTCATTGCCAACGAGCTCGCCATCTCTGGCTGCCGAAGACATGGTAGCTGCCATGTATTTGGGCACAGTCCTGACGGCAATATGCCCAAGCGCTCCACATTGGTGTATAAAACGCTACCGACAATACTTGGTATCGCATTGAGTCTTCGATGGATTTTGCCTCACCATGACATCATGCGGCTCGAACCGTACTTCCAAATGAGCACAAAGTACGGTGCGAAAGCCTCGAGCTCAATCTTCTTGCAATATCCGTATGATTTTGTCTTTTGGTTGCCTTTCAAGGCTACACTAAATGAGTAAGTTATCGGCCCTGTTAGGTAATACCTGCTAATGGGTTTGTCAATGTTAGACACTATCTTGTAGCCTTCTCGTCGGGGATCCTCCTCCTGATGAACTTTGTGATTGTTCCCCTTGTCCCGACAATGTTCGACGATGTCCCGATCAACACTACTATGCTCGAAATCGTTAACCGGGTTGATTTTGACCCAACGGCCCGGCAGGTACCTGCAAACTTCACCTTCTTGGCCTACGAACACGCATGGAAACATGGCCTTCTTAACCCGTTCATGACCGAAGAATACGCGCTACTTCCCGTGAAGCCACTTGACAACTTTCCGGGATTCTTCCCCCGGGAGAACTGGACGGCCGAGACGACGCTATTCCAGGCCGGCCTTGATTGCGTCGATGCCCGTGTGGAGTTCAACTATGGCTACTGGCAGGGCAACAACACGCTGGTAGTGGAAATGTTTCGGCCGAACGAAACCAGCTCTCCATCTGTGCGGGTGTGCGATGCCCTTCCACTGGAGAAAGGTATGAACGCAAGCTATTACAACGAAAAAAACTGCTCGGGGATCACGGCTTTCATGACGCCCTGGACGAGCATGTTCTGGCAGTTGGGAAATCCGGAAGTGGAAGAAGTGACATACATGTTTGGATGGGCGTCTGGTCCATCCAGTCCTCCAACTGTCACGGAAAACTTCAAATCCCCCACTCCAGTCAAAATCACAGCCATGTTCTGCACGCCGAGATACTATACCCAGTCAGTCAATGCCACCGTCTCAATGGCGTCTGGAGAGGTAGTCAATATAGAGCCTATCGGTACGCGGAAGGAGATCAAGGCACTTAAGGGCTTCGACAACATCATCGACGGAAACGTCAAGCTAAACATCAAAGGCGAGGCCATCTTCGTAGAGCCAACCGAGAATCGGACAAAGTCGTACTCCACATATCCTCGCCGATTTGGGTACCCACCCGACAAGATCATAGATCTCAAGTATGACCTTGTGGAAGCCTTCGGAGAGGCCCAGAGACCGGTAACACTGGTGACTTTTGGGCGCGTCAGCAACAGCAATATCTTCATGACGAGGACAGACTCGTTGGCGGCATTCGCGTTATATAACAGGACCGAGGGGGAGCTGGGAGACTTGCTGGATCGGGAAGAATTAAAGAGCACGATGGAAAAAGCACTGAAACTGTGGTTTGCGTGTGCCGTGGTCACCGAGTCGGCAATCAGCAACAATGTCAGCCGGATCACAGTAGATCGAACCGTTCCGGATGTCGAGATTACAGTCAACAAATGGTGGTCGCTGGGGGCGAGGATAGGACTTCCGCTGGTCGCGATATTGTCGGGAGTTCTCAGCTTTCTCATTGAAAAGCGCGTCTGCCATCTCAACGCAGAGCCAAACACCATTGCCGCATCCCTGAGGCTGCTCTCCGCTAGCCCGGCGCTCTGCGCGGCGATGGAGAACGCCGAGTACTATAAGCTAAAGCAGCTGATGGAGAAACTAGATGAAATGGGATTCTATTTTAGGATGGACTCGAATGGGGACTCTGCTCGGATAAGGGTGTTCGATGGAGACGGAGAGAGTGCGCAGGAGGTCCCGGAATCTTCTTCAGCCTTGAAGGTTTTACAAGCTCCTAGCCCCCATGTTGAGGTGCAAAGCGACTGTGAATTTGCATCGCCAGATTTAATCGCAACATCCAATCTTGTCATATTCCCCATCCTTATCGCGGCGTTGATTGCTACCTATGAATTGTCTAAGAGATATGACGGTATGTAGTGATCCGAATTTTAATATTTCTTGCCTGGCTATATATATATATATATATATATATACCGATATAGTTCATTTCATCCTATATATCTTGCTCGGCTTGGCTGATAATACGTTCACAGGATTCCCGATGCCCAGTGAGCCAAACTCGTTTTGGTCAAAGGTTTGCTACAACTATCTTCCCACGGCGACTGGGATGCTGGCTGAGACACTCCTCATCGTTCTCGGAGCCACTCAAGGCATGATCAATCCGTACAGAGAGCTCATCGCACAGAGGGCAAAGTACACCGAAACTCTCAAAGCCGATCACCACAGTATCCCGCCGCACTTTCAGATGGTCAAAACGTTCAAGCGTGGCCAGTTCACGCTTACAGCTCTATCGGTGGCCATCCTGCTGTCGAACGCCCTTCCTGTCTTCCTAGGTGTCTTCTTCTACCATTCCATCTACGTGCCCAAGATCGAGAAGTCCCACGAGATATCGAACGATCTTTCCCGGATCCGGCCGGAAATGTTTTTCCAGCTGGACAGGAACATCACTAACGAGTACGACTACTCGCCCTCGTGGACTACGAGCGAGTACTACATTGACTCCCCCTTTAAGATCGCTCCAATTTCGGGGGAGGCTACATACCAAACACGTGGTTTCGGAGTGGACGTCATCTGCACCCTGGTCCCCGAAGACTTGGTCCACTTCCCCTGCAGCACGGCCGCACGCTACATCGCGAACCGCACAGTGCTCTGTCCCGCCGTGGAAACGGCCGCGGGGGAAGGACCACGGGACAACCTCCTTGTTCTCACTAAGATGTGCAATGGTGACCCTCCGCCTGGCACGATCGCTACCTGGAACGGGAGTTGTGTAGACAACGTTGCCTCCAATACTCATTGCCCTGGTCGTATCTTTCCCATGTGGGTGCAAAACGAGAGGTATACTGTTAATCCTGTGAATGGCTCCCTCCGGACAGAAGACAACTACCAGTTTGTGGTGCTGAACTGCACCCTCACCAACAATATCGTGGATCTGAGTGCTACCGTTCGTGACGGCAAGGTTCGCTCCCTGAAAAATGTGCATGCCGTTTATCCATCGTCCCAGGCGAACATCACCGACAACCTCGCCAGCAGGTTTGCCCAGCTTATAGCGGACACAGCCTCTAAGGATAGTCTTATCGGCCCACACCCGCTCGACCGTTTCAGCGCATTAATGGCTGAGATCAACCAGTCCGTTGTGGCGCACCACGATAGCCATGTTCCATCTGCTACTGTCGCGGTGGAGACCTTTGCAGACCTCTTGAAGCGGCTGTTTCCGCTACTCCTGCGGCTGGAGGCGGAAAGGATGTTTGGGGTCAAATATACGGTAGAATCTCAGGACTACAGGGCGCATGTTGTGAGGGGATATTTTGGCATGACGCTGGGGGCGCTGGTGTTGTGCGTTCTTGTGATTGTGAAGGTGTATACAGAGCATACTGAGAAGATGATGGGCCATCTGCCCTGGAGCGTGGCGGGGATGTATTCGCAGCTATATGCAAGTAACGCAAAGTACGATATCAACAGGGCTAGGAAGGAGTTGGAAGAAGAGGAACTCTTGGGGGTGTATGCGTATGGGGAGTATCCGAGTGAATTGCAATTGGGAAAGCATTATGGGGTGTATAAGACTGTTCCATCCGCGGTGTAGTGGTCGTTGTTTAAGATTTTGATGCAGAATATTCCTTAGCGGGTCCTGTTCTGAACTGATTTCCTTTCATATCATATGCATATATATCTTTTTTTTAATCGATTTTACGGCGTCCTGCACCAACTAACCACAGTTGTGTAACACCGGTGATGGTTACCCCACACAGACCTGTAATAGGAATACTGCTAAGTTAATCGAGAATTGGTTCCTGTGAATATTCATCATGTCTTTCGATAATAGTCTCGCCAGCTTTGAGCCGTAGTTTGTTAGCAGAACTAAGAGCTACCAGGGCATGCAGCAGGTGTAGATTACCAGCAAGAGGATCTTGCAAATATGTGGACACCTTTCTGGACGAGCTCTGGGAGTTCAAGGTTGAAATATTCAATGTCAGCTACCTTCCCTTTTCGGATCCTCTCGATCCTGCGTCTCATCGAGAGACCAATTCCTTGCCTATACATATACTAGCCTCTACATATTCTTTATTATTACGCTGAGAAAACTCATACTTTTGTTATTTAGATAGTATTGAAAATATGAACTTCTCATTTTAGGTTAGGTTTGTCGGTCCAAATGGAGTAGCAATTCAGAAAGTGATAATAGGTTTCACTCCCAATAGCCTGTACTTTGTTCAGTGCAATAAAAAAACATATTTATATGTAGGTGGGCTATGTTTATTGATGGACTATGAGTCAACCAATGTAGGTGTGTGTTATCAGAGATACGGAAATCCCCCAACTCCACGTACCAACCAATCGCTCGTAAAGGTACCACACGTTTGTAGATCTACCCACCAAAGTCTGTCAAGTTCAATGGATGCCAGAAAATGTTTTGAGGTAGACTAATTTAATACCTGTTGCCTCTAATTGTAGGTAGAGGGCGACTTGAGGCGGTCGGGGCAAATATAGGTAGGGCCCGGCACAGCCCATCAAACAGACGGTAAGGTCCGGCCTATTTCGTCACGGCCCATGCCATGGAGCGAAGAAATTTGGGCCTTAAAAGAAAATGTGATTATCTTTTCAAAACCCTGCCAACCCCGTGACGATTAAGCGAATTGCCTGACCTACATGTATCCACGAATCAGTGTGTATTTCATGGCTGGCCCGGGGAAGGCCTTCCAGAGGTCTTGTAACCGGGTCTCAAATTTCTCAACGCACTTGATAACCAAACATCACCTCTCACCTCTCTCTTTTTTCCCATTACAGCCACAGCGATCAATTCCTAAAATAATCTCGATGGAATAATATCTAGATACAGGTACTTATCTAGGTTACTGCATAGGAATACGTCATCCCAATTAATGGAAAGATCAGCCGGAATCTAATTGAAGACACATGTTAGCAGATGCATTGTCCCAAATACTAAACATGATCCAGTGGTTGGGATTGCTATTCACCGATGATGCCCGATAGGCAGCGCCCTCGGGCATATGGGTATAAACTATAAAATAGGTTTCTGTTAGAAAGGGTACCTAAACCTACAAACCCCTCAAACAGAAAATACATGTATACCCACGTGATAGAGGGTTTAGAAGGCGAGGGAAGAGTCGATTGCGATCCTATTCTTGGTTTATATATGCTGAAAGTATGGTTCTAATAATACGCAACAGCATCTCGTTGGTGCTAGCTTTGCTACGACATCCTCCACGGCTATCTAAATAGTAATAACACGGATGATATATTCTAGTTGATAAGCCGGTGCGGAGAAGAGGAGACGGTCCTATCAAGAGTTCTCTACCGATCGATCATCTCTGGACAGCGTGTACCTACATGATTGCTTTTTAATTAGGTATTTGAAAATTTCACGGCGCATTAGTGAGTTCGAATTCTTATGTGAATACTTGCAACTCGATGTGATTGCCATGCAAGCAAAAGTGTGCGTTGCACTTGCACTATTTCCAGCCCCGAAAAAAGGACAGATCGTTCCAGTTCGGCTTCGTTGCGAGTTGAAATCAAGCGGGATCAAGCACGAACCAAATCATTGAAGGAGGGGGGGGGGGGGGGAGGACTTTGCGGGCTGAGATTTACATCGGGGGGGGGGATTGCGGTAAGTTGACATTACTAGTATCAATTAATTGCACTTTATATCTAAGCCCTGCCATGTGTGTATGTAGGTTCTCGATGTAAGCCTCCTCTGGGTGAATGCACGACGGACCAATACCGCCATCCCCGTACATGTACATCCATCATTCGGCTGCTGCAGTACTTTACACTATATTCATTTGTTGATCTTGGACCAAGTATGAGTGGGCATTCAAATATCTTTCTTATATAAAGTCCACCCCAGCTCAACATATCCTGCTCTCACTCTCACATCGATATCATCCCTCAAAATCATCACCACACTCACCAACGTACCATCCAGGCATTCCTACAATGTTTGGAGACTTCAGATATCTTCTAGTTTGGTGTTGCGCCCTCCTCACGGTTGGCGCCGTTAACGTCCCAGTCCTCATAACCGAACGGCGCCGGATGACCAACGAAGAGGCCATCCAGCTCACTAGTGACCTTTTTGGCACAGACGATTACTCCTTCACCGTATCTGATGAACGTGTCTACGTTGAATCCGCAGATAGACTGAAGCATTTGGAGTACGACACCGTCTCTGGCGGAATCACCGCAGCAGACGACTCCGAGCCCTGGAGTCCGGCTGCGGGACCCCCGGGAAATCTACCGAGTGAGCCTCAAGCCATGGAGATGGCAATTGAGATCACAAAACGCCTCAACATACTGCCCGCAGACGGACTGCTACCCGCAGAGATCGAGCTCATCATCAAGAGCGACCGCACCAGCGGAACATACGTGGCCCATGAGTATAGCGACGGCGCCGGGGGATACATCCGCGAAGATTACCTCATTGATGTTTCTGCATTCTTCGATATCTCGATCAAGGTGCCTGATTATCCAGAGCCACTCCTGCTCACGGGCGGAGGAGGAAAGTTCAAAGTCGCGTTCGGCAGCAACTGCAGGTTGAAGGAGTTCCAAGCGCTCTGGCGACCCATTGTCGGTTCAAAGCCGTACGAAATCATGCCCCAGGAGGAGGCGGACCGTCTATACCAGCAATCTCTGGGCGCTCTCGCAGGCACGGCTACCAATATCACCTCCTTCCTGGCCTACTACTCCGAACCGTTCGGAACGCTGCAGAAATTGATGTACCCCATGTATGTATATGAAGGAAATGCTGTTGTCGGCGACGAGTCGATTCCAATCCGGCCCCAGGCCACCCGCGGGGGTGACGGGACTGGTTCAAGCCATCCAGGGATGAAGCAGTTTCCCAAACGCCAAGCCCTCGACGATGCCAAACTATTCGAGGCAGCGTCCGAATGGCTTGGAGAGCCATATGGTCTAACTCTCGCCAAGAGGAACGCGGACGGTTTCAGGAACGGGGTCCAAGATACCGCACCCCTCGGTGTATATAGGTATGAGAAGAGTAACAAGGACGTCCTGGAATCTGATTTCGTGAGCGAGGCCGATACCTGGGCGGACACGGTCGACATGCTCTTCTACACCGGCCATGCGAACAGGAACGGCTGGATGGTTGCCGAGCCAGGTACGGGAGCTGAGATGTTTATCGACTACAGAAGCTTCGGGGCGGGTCCGGAGGTGCCAGGAGACCTGCTTGGGCAGCAGGACCTCGAATGGCTCATCATTGCTGCTTGCGGGCCGCACCAGGACCAGCACATCAATCCGAGTGACGGGAACGTGTTTGATAGGTGGAGGGGGATCTTCGATGGACTGCACATCATGTTCGGATACGCCACTGCGTCGGTCGATTCGTCGGAAGAGGGGGGGAGGTTTATGAAGTACGCCCAGGAGGGTGACACCCTGATCAATGCCTGGTTCCGTGCCGCAAAGGAATTGCAAACGTCGGAGGTTATTGTGTCGGCGATGTGGACGGATGATGCTTGGGATGACCATCTTCCAGGGTACGGATGTGTCTCCAGCGACAATACGTTGGGCTCACAGGAGAGGTGGATCATGTGGACGACGTGTTAGTTGGGGTGTCAAAGTGGTAGCTGGAGCATCTTTCTTTCTTTTGTTTTACTTTGTTTATCGATATGTCTGAACGCAATATACTACATCTTTCTCTACATGATTCTCGTGAAGTGACCAGCCACAGTGAGGCACAGTGATTCCGCTCATGCCATCTTCTACATCGATAAACTACCGAGTAGGTACCTCGTGAGTGAATGAAATAAAGTACGATGTTGGGATGTAATGCGCATGCCTGAGGTAATATTTACTCTAGAGTACTAGGATTAACGCTCATAGCATGCATGCGCGTTGCAACCAATAGGAAGTGCAAGAGTTTCTGTCCACATTGTCCTATAATCATCATGTACCCCCCCTTCCCTTCTTTTATTATTTTGTTTACCACAGTACCTACTCGACTCTGGTGCATGCAGGATATATGCGTATCATATACATGCCACTTTTTGAATGCCGTGCTTAAGAATACGTCCTCAACTACACAGGATATCAATCCTAAGAATTAAGCCTTATTACTAATACCATGCAGGCCATACTGCTCTCATGCATGAAGGGCGGTTTTGGGTAATTCATTGATAATTTAGTGTTAGCAATTCTCACAGTCGTCAGCAAAAAAACTCTAGAGTATTAAGATTTCAATAGTAATAGTAAGAGTTCAAGCATTGACTAAGATCTCAAGAATTGACAGCGGGGAAAGGCATGTGCTTCTAGGTAGAGCATGTAGAGACGGCACAAAAGTCGATTCGTGCACACATGTAGGTACGCCATTTCCCAGGTTTAGCGAGTAGGGTGCTCCAACACAGTGTACTGGCAGCTGCGGCGAGACACAGCCAATAACGGGAAAAGGGAAAAGGCCTATAGCCGCATATTATCCTGCGCACACTGAGCAATTTCAAGAGCGCACAGATTCAGCCCCGCCCAGCTCTGGCCATCTCCGGGCAGGGACTTTCTCTCTGGCGATTGGGCCAAGGCCATGGATCAGCATCAGAAGTCACTATTAGTAGCAATTTAATTAAGATGTTCAATCCCTCGAGCTTGTGGGCGCTACATGGCCAATAAGCACTTCATAATTGGGAGAATTAATATCCCTCATGCTGGTGACTACTGCCTCGAATCCTGCATTTATTGACAGGTATGGGGCGTATACCTACACACGTATTAGTTTGGGATACCTTTTACGTGAAGGAATAGAGTGCCTGGTAATCGATATAACAGGTGTGTTAATAATGAACACTGGTCTAAACATAGCACATCTAGGCATTTTGTCGCCAGCAGGCCTCTCGTTGGTCACAGCTACTTACAATATACATATATGCATGTAATCTCAATATGTATCCCTTGCAGATTCAATCGGGCAGTGTCTGCCGCGAAGGACGCGAGATCGAGTGTCGCTTTGCAATTGCTCGGTATGTAGGTACATTATGTAGGCCTATGTTACAGTACAATCAGTTTTATATCAAATACCCACATCTGTACGTATATGTACATGTATTCAAATACAAGCTATGTAGCACGTCTTGTACCTACAAGTACTTCAAAACATATCCTGTCGGTTATCTCATAGCTTCCTGCACAGCAGCGCATTTTAGATCATACGTGCATGAATAGAGTACTCTAGACATCGTTCCAGCCGTGCTGTGCTGTACTGTAGTGTGGTTTTGGGGGGGCTGAGGGGGGATAAATGAAAATCCGAGTTTTCGGTCGGCGCAGCGCAGGCCAGCCAGCACTAGTGCCAGAGACATTAATTCGGTACCAATGCATCCTCCACACGGGTATGCAGTTGATCCTGCGGGCCCCACCAAACAAATCCTCGGGTCGAGGTGGAGAGGTGTCTCACCTGCGCCAGCTTGAATTGCTAACTACCAACTACCGGGCGACGAAATCTTGCTCTGTCGCACGGCGATTTGTGATCGCAAGGCATCCCTGGCCATGGACCAGCCCTGTGTGAAAAGCCAATCGGCCGGATCACTCGAGCGCAACCCCACACGTCGCAGATAACGTATTGGCCCATGATGGACAGAACAATCGGCAGGCACTCGCAGAGAATTCGTTGGGGGATTCGGTATCACAGGATTAGGCAATGTGTTCGTCTCGATTATTATGAGGGGGGGTTGGAGGGGTGTGGCCCGTGTGGGTGGAGGATTGAGGTCACAGAACAGGGTTAGGGTTGGTACGCTCGCTACCACAGAACTAGAAGAAATACATGCATTTTCATGTTCTCCCGGGGACCGTTTTGCTGTAGCCATGGGCTTACGGACTCTCATAGTGGCCCTATCGTGCAAGTAAACGCGTGGCTGAAATGTCGGGGGCCCTGTCCTCCGCACGGCCTCCAGTCGGAATGGTAATCATCAAATATCACTCGCATACCGCCCCCGCCCATCACCACCCGAGCTTTGTGGCGACCGCACCGCAGTCTTCCTGGCGTTACCTCTGCAATGGGTTCAATGATTGCAACTAACCACAACAGCTGGTAACCATGACAACCACACGGATGCGCGCTGACTCTCATTTCCATTTCCACCGCCCGTCACAACCTGTCACTCGCACCCCCGCTGACCCTCGACTGCCTGTCTAACGACTTCCCCCCCCGGTTCCCCTTGCCTAACCCACCACCCGACTACCATAGTAATACCAAATGCGCAAGTTTGACAGCGGCCATCACATCGCTACCGAAACACGCACATCACTACCCGGTACTCCACCGCTGCACTCACCCCGCCCCGCCCCGGACCCGCCACCGCCGCGGCATCCACATGTACCCGCTTCATCGTCTATCACTCGACCGCAAAATCCCCGACGCGGCGACCGCCATGGCGATTATCCGAACAGTCACGCAATCTTGGGCCGTATCTGCCTGCGAGAGCTAAACATCGCTCGTTTGCAAAACAGCTGCCGTTCGATCTATTGCTGTTGTGGGTTTATGGGTTTCAAGATGCCGCGGATATTCTTTGAAGCGCTATGGCTAGAAGCCGATACATATACTCCAACAATAGTACATTGCACATTCCCATGCAGCATTTATATGTCGGAATACCTGTGTAAGCTTGTAGTGTTATCCTATGCTTGTGTACTGACCTTTTCGTCTCGTAGCCGCTTGCCCGCCACTCTAGGCACCGTGGAAATGTGTACCTAGAATATTCAGTAAAGTCGTCGGAAAGTCGTTTCTGGGGTCCAAATTGTCACTGGGAAATGTCAATATTTTGGCGGAGGGAAAGTCGTTTTAAGGGAAATCGGACCACATTACTGACGATAAATGAGGTTTTTTAAATATTAAAAACGACTTGAGCGATGACTTTACTAACACCTTTGCCTGTTACCCTTCTGTGACACATCTTGGGCGTAGACACAGCGGGGTGATAGGTTTTGGCCACCGATGATGCTTCACACATGATTGACGAAAGTTATCGCTAATGAAACGAGTTATCACAGAGCATCCTACTATTATACTAGTACCATCTACCCAGAATTGCCTGCATGTACATGCCAAACAATGAATCCACCAAAATGAAATTGTATTCCCCAACTGTTACAAGCCCATTGATGCCAGATACCATTTGATGGCCCCACCGAAATATTCTACTTGGAGACTCGCCTATCTCGAGATCTAGAGGAGGGGCTTCATAGGAAAACATTGGTTTGCCGGCAGGAAATAGGAAACACTGGAAGGCACCAGTAAAGTGATATTTTGATGCATTTAACATGCCTTTAACAGGTAAAATCATCAGTAAAGTCATATTTTATTGCATTTAATACGGAAAAGACGATAGTAAACTCGTCGGTAATGGGACAGGAATGCCCTTAACATATAGTATTGTGGTTATTGCATCAAATAATGTGTATCTCGCAACCTTTTGTATGGGAGTCAAGATTGATGCATTTACACGGCTGCTAGAGACAGTGACCTTCCCGTGACGGAAGTCGACCTGAGTTTGTTATTACTATTAGACATTATATACAGTGATTATCTTCTAGGTTCAGCGCTTTGATGCATCCGCGAATCAGTTGTGAAACTTTTTTCTTCGATCGGGTTAGTAAACTGGAATGCCCTTCGATCTGATGCAGGGTTACAAGGATCACTCACTCAGAAGAGTGTTATAGGAATCATGGAATGCTGTGCAAAGGGGAAGCACAGTGAAGAAAAATGAGTGATGGGTTGTGATGCGAGTACGATCGGGTAATAAGAGGACAGGCATAGAAAGGTATCGGGTAGTGGGGAAGTACATGGTGTGACCACACTAGCATTAGGCTATTGTGACGGCACACTTACTATTAGGGTGACTCACTCAGAACAGAATAGAAACGGAGCTCACGGCTGCAGCTTGTTCTACTTCGAGAAGTAGGTCTAGGATAATAGTATGATAAGCTTGGTTACTGCCATTTACAAGGATTCAAGGTTATGTGCCGGAATTAGAAAAGAGGACAGGACTATACGGGGGTGCGTTTCTATTGAGGTTAAGTTTAGATGAATGGTGTTATTCTGTTATCGTTATATTATTAATATTAGAAAGTGAGCCTTAGTATAGTTTAAAACATTTATAAATAGAAGATGGTTCTGCCTCGACTTAGTGGTATCATCAGCTATCAAGCGAGCGGAATCTGTTGTACAATTTTAAATCATTTAAAAGTTACAGAACTATTGTTTAGCATTGGCAATTCCTCTAACACTATATTGTACCTCATCCACTACGCTTTTTACCTATCGTATACTACCAAAGTCTTGATAAGACAACTACTCGCTTACACCAATACTTTGAATATTTTGCTTGTGGCGGATAGTGACCGTGCTCTTAGTAGAAAGAATAAGAAAGTAATATGTTAGACAGATACTTGGAACTTTATACACTCTCAAGTAGCAACAGTAGCTATTAATAATCTTACCTGCACTACATAATTCATTGTTCGCAGAAGCAGTGTCGAATACCTTTACTGTGTATATCTCAACTACGCAGGATTGTTCACAGAAGCAGGCACTACCTGCACCTTTAAGGAACAGGATTCAGAAATCC